CATTCTAATATCTTGTGTAAAAATATATTACAAGATGAACGGAAGATATCACATCAGACAGAATGCTTTGTATATATTAATCTTACTGAAAAATAATGGTAGGTGGGATATATACGAATTAGAATGACTCATTTATCTTGTTTTAATTATATTAATCGTTTATTCATTAAATAATTATGCATAAGAATAAAAAAACCCACTGAATATTATTATGGAAATAAATTTATTTATAAACCTTTCCTTAAAAATGAGGTGTCTTAAAAAATAAATTGGCAGACGTTTTGTAAAAATTATCTACAGAGGGGGATAAAGATTCATCTATTTGATCCTTCCTCATTTATCTACAACATGATGAGTAAATAGCTATCTTACAGCGATGAAAAATTACCAGTGGTAATTAGTCAATGTGTTTGTAATTAGCCTTTCTTCGCGACGATGAGTGGACCCACATTGTCATTGCACTCTTTGTTATGACGTCCATGAGTACCGTCACAGTATGGCCACTATGTATAAAAAATGATTAAGAATGAGACGTATATGTAAAAGATCTTATATATCAATACTTTAAAAAAATTATTTTAGAGAATATAAATAATGGAGAATATAAGTAAATTTTATTATATATCAATACTTTTAAAAAATTATTTTAGAGAATATAAGTAATGGATATTCATAAGAACATCTTTTAACTAAAACATAATTAGGAATAATTTTTGATTGATTTAATCACTTGTTTATGTCTCCTTGTAAAAAACAAAATGAAATATTAAGTTGCATAATTTTTTCCGATCTTAGGATTTCGATTCCTATACAAAAAGAACTTACATTTTCAGACCTCCAACAGCGACAAAATACAGCTTTTTCAGAGATATCTTCGATATCAACAGTGTCCACTACTTTTGGGATATCTTTTTTTACTTTGAGATTAACACGACCATGTGGCTATAAAATAATTAACTTACATTATATTGCATGGAAGTAAGTGGAAAAATTAATGAAATTATAAATATATCATTAAAATCAATGTAAAAATATATATTAATATATATATATATTTTATAATTTTCTTAACAATTTCGATATTTGTATAAAACAATAAATATAATACTAATACACACAGGCACACGCACACACACATACATGTACATAAATTATTTTGCCTTTATTATATTTATTCTGTTTTATTCCTATTATTAATCATTATAATTATGCAATATAAAATATTATATACAAAAATATTATAATTACAAAATTAAATTAAATAAATTAATTAAAATACAGATAGATTCTTTACCATTGTGCTATATTTTTTGCACTAGAAATAAATTTGCATAAGTAAATACTTAAACTTTCTTTATAGAAATATTTAAAAAAATTATAATTTATTTAAATTTTTCAATTTATTAAGTCAACCTTATTAGTCTATATATATATATATATATAGCAAAAGAGAGAAATATATAGGATATTATATTATTATTCAAATATATAAGAAATAAATACACAGAACACAATTACTTAAAAGCATAATAATTACAAAGTTGAATTTATTCTATCTAGTTTGCAACAAATTTATGGTGAATTGATACTTGGAAAAGGCATTATCTGAAAGTTACATAACTTTTCTAGTAATATCATAACTAATTCTTGTGTTGTCCTTGATATTTTCTACAAGAAGCAAATATAAAAGACATACCACAGGTCTGCCATGAGGACAAAACGCCCTGTAGGACATATAACCCAAACCCGTGAGAAGGGCAGTAGGTGGTAGAAGGGCGAACCAATCCCTCACTGGTATAAAGAAAAAAAAGAAGTGAACAAGTTAAATTAAAAAAATTATACACGTCTTTAAATCGAGAGGTTATGTCGGAGTCTGGAAAATGATATGTCGAGGTATAATTGTTGTTGCAAGGTATGGAAATGCGTGATAGAAATTACCTCCCAGCCGGAACCATCCGCCTATCGAATCGGGAATCGGTAGGCCGGCCAGATAGTTCGGGACGGACACTTTGACAAGACGTGCAATCGGTTCCATAGTCGCTCGGCTAACTGACGATAGCGCCATTAGCGCCAATCAGCCGCATTAGCGTCCGCCAACAGTACCGAATCATGGCTAAAAAAAAAAACCTTTTGCAAAATCCCGTTGGACACCGATACATACACGCATATCTTTTCAATAAGATAAGAGGATAGTGCACTTACGATACCACAGAATAAAATTACCTCTTCATATTCTTTTTTTTCTCATCAACATATTCGTATTTTCATTCCTTTTTTCTCATAAAATGGCTATGAATTTATAATCGATATTTAATTTCTTCTAAATAAATTCTTTCTGAATTTTAATCGTTATTGGTTTGACAACAATTAATTCTTTTGGAAAATTATATTCAAAAATAAGTTTGAAGATATAAGAGTTTTAAAAAATCGGTAAAAAAGTGGTACACATACAATGTGGTACCAGGGTGCGGCTGGGGTCGTGTATATTTCAGAATTACATTTACTTGACATTTTTACATATATTGTTTATGTTAAATTTACACGAATTTTGTTCATGTAGACAGTAAGATGTATGCATTCGGGGAAACGTTATTAACGCTATTGATATTAACGTCATTCTATCTCGATCATTTATCACATAAATGACAATCTTCTGATGTACAATCTTCCGAAATATGCGATACGAACACTTACCGAGCGCAACATATATAAGATGTAGGTAGGTAGAGGAGAAAACTTGAAGATGTCCATGGTCTCCATCGCAGTCTCGAGGTCTCGACGTGTTTCGCTTCGTCTTTCGTCTATAGGGTCTATAGTCTATATCCCGTCAGATCACCTATGTCCTCAGTCCTATATCCGCTCCTGATCGCCACGCTAGACGATTGGTCGGTAGCGAAAGATGGAGGGGGACTCGGTGACGAGGTGAAAGACCGGTGGCGCGCGCAGGTGGCGCCGCGCGTTCGCTCAATCAGTTGCGGGGTGTCCACCGGCCAGGTGAGAAAGTTGTTGTTATTACATTTGTACTCTCGCGCGTCTTTCGTCGCGATACGTGCCGCCGCTGTTACGACGGCGTCTCTCCGTGGTCGAGTAGTCCGAGTAGGTTTGATCTCCTTGTACGCGAGTACAGAGTATAGCGTATGCAGGGTGAAGCACGAAGCAGCAGCGGTCGGCTTACATCTCCCTTCCTCCCTGTGGCGCCGAATGAGAGCGAAAGAGACCGAGCGGCCCGAGCGCAGCCGAGGATCGTTCGCAGTGCGGCGCGACGAAGAGGGGAGGGCGCTTCCTCGTCCCGCGCGTGGGTGTGCGAGTGATAGATACACAGTTGTCGGGTGACAGAAGCGCGGAGGGCGAGGATAACCCAAATAAGGAAGGTGCGCCCTTTGCTCGTTACCAGTTACCACCTTGATCGAAAGGATCGGAAGTGCACAAGTGCGAGAGGTGGTGCGAGGTAGTGTGAGATTGTGAAAAGGTGACATTACGGCAAATGACAGCGAAGAGGTGAGGATCAATGTGCCGTGATGGCTGAGGAGGAGCTGCTGGTCACCCTGTGCCGCGGCGACTCCGGCTCCGGCGGCTCTTTCGGCTTCTCGTTGCTCGGCGCCTCGGCGTCGGCGGGCCTGCCGGCCGCCCACGTCATCTACGACATCGTCGAAAACTCACCGGCGGCCAGGAGCGGCAAGGTGAGTTACAACGTTACAACGTTACAACTCGGCATAGCCGCGCCGCGCCGTAAGGACGATTTTCGCCTGTCTTTTTCACAGGAAATTGATCCTTACCTATTCTCAACGATTCTCGCACGATCGATTTTTGTGTATATGCCACGATATGTTTTTACAAACGAAACAATGACTTTCCTACGGTTTTTTTCTGGCGTAGCTACACCATAGGGAATTGATTTTTAAGAATAAACGTACCTGGCGATAACGATTTTTCGCCTGCAAGCATTAGAAATTAAACCTGCCTTGGGATGAACAATTTAATAAATCATTTTCGTGTGCACCCAATTTGAGAAATTGATACTCGCGAGATCAATATACACGCGAGATGCTACAATTCTCGCAAGATTGATTTTCGCTGCTAGTAGAGTGGTAAATTGATCTTTGTAAATTAAGCAACTATGTAAGATCGTTTTTAGCGTGATTGATTTTTATAAATAAATGCTACAATTGTATTGAAGTCGATATTTGCATGATGTCTGCAGCGGAGATTGATTTTTTCGATAGGTATTGAAATGAGTAAATTAAAATAGAAGAAATGAGGTTCTCATAAGCTATTTTATATGCCAGTTCCACAATACTGATTCGAAAAAAAAGATTGTGTTTTTGCGTCACTGGTCGGAAATGGATCAAGTTAATTTAAACTGTTTTTAAAATACATTAAATATTGCAGATTATAACTGTTTTTTCGAACGAATTGTGCTTTTGTAAAGAAGAAGAAATGAAATTTAGTACTTCAAGAAGGTTCTTCTCAACGTTCTTTAAAGAGCTCTCAATATACACGAATAAGAATTGTGATAGTCCAAAGTACAGCCTCTCCAAACACTTATCATACTCCAAGTAAAAATAAAATATATCATTTCTAACGGAACTGATTTTTCTAATTTAGAATCGATGGTTAATTAAAACAAAGATATCATCGTTTTCTCATAAGCTGTTATTTGCTCTTAAATTATTATAAATATACATTTATAATAGTAAATTAATGATACTCTTATTAAGTTAAATTAAATTTTTATGATTTTTACCATTTTTATTAAAGTTTAACAATAAAAAATTTTATGTAATTTATTTAAGTCCAAAGTTGCTAAACTGATAACATTAAGTAGTGATTTTTGAAAATTAATTTGTTAGAATCACACAAATGTGTTAATCAGTTTTTAATTAATCAAAATTTTGAAATATATGACTGATAAATGAATATTAAGTTTTAATAAAAAAGATATTTATTTATCTTTATTTATATCGATATTGCAAATAATCCATGATAAAGGAAGAAGAAATGTCAAATAACCTGAAGACATAATCAAGATACTTTTTGCTATCATAAATAAATGATTTAAACAATATTTAGATATGATCAAGTAGAAAAGACTGGTTAATGTGGTTACGAAGTCGCACAAGTTTCTTCGGCTAAATTTAGTTTTGACGCTGGAAACGAAGAAAAAAATGACGAAGGAGCAAGATATGTGATGTAAAAGCGAGAGTGCACCAGCTGCATTCTTTCTGCATAGTGGCACAGTTTCGCGAAGAATATTTAATAACTCGTTAGAAATTTCATGAGAGAATTTTGTGATTATATATATAGAAGATATAATAAATATCGAGATAATAATTAAGACTAGTGAATGAAAATTATTTGTTGGGTAACAAGCTTCGAAAATATAATTTTTAAACGTAATCTGACATCTTAAAGTTTGTTTCTATTTATTTTAAACAATATTGCACCATGGGAGAGTAATCTTGTCCTGCTTTTCGTTTTTCAATTAGCTGACTTTTCAGTAAAGAGAGCTGCTTTTGACGATCATTAATTGCTCCGAGAAAGATGTTGAGTCTCCTGAGATCATTGGAAATCACATCCGTACGAATGCCGGGGTATGGGCAGCTGGTCCAAACTGGTCCATCGTCCCAGAGCAGATCCAGCCCCCCAATTCTGGTCTCGTGTCCGCTGAAGCAACCCTTCAATCAAAATTTTTGATTTATTTATACGAAATATTTTTCAAAATTAAAAAATTTTATATAATAACAATTATATTTAAAAATACTTTAATCAAAAATATAATAAAAAACTTTATATAAAAATATATGAAATAATTATAAGTATATATATAAATATGTGAATAAATATTTTTATAAAATATAAATATTTTTATTATTAACTATATATGTACTATATAAGTATAGATAATAATATATAAAAAACAAGAGAAAGAATTCATGTATAACTGGTACCTCAAAGTCGAGGACATTGAGGACGTCGTCAACCAGATCGGATTTCAGACGTTGATCCTCGTTGTCGGTGCCTGTTAAGGCTGGGGATGCGTTGATTTCCAATAACCAAAGTCGAAGATCATCACTGAGCAGTATATGTTAGCCATAGAGTTCGAAACAGTTGCGATCTTGCATCATGGCTGGTTGTGCTGCCAGTAGACTCGCCATTATCACGCCTGCAATATAAATATAGATATGATATGTACAAACATTACACACATACACACACACACACACACACACACACACACACACACACACACACACACACACACACACACACACGCACAAGATAAATCGTAAAGTGATTATGTTATTTATCAAATCTTATTAATAACAGTAATTTGATAATTTTGTAAATACCCGCAATGCGTTGCATCAAATTTTCAACCACTTCCTTCTCATAATAAGCTATCAAATAATCCCTGAGCTTATTCAATGCCCATTTACAGCTCCACTCCCCATTTTCGCCTTTTATCGAAGAGATACCCTCGGTATTCTGACTTGCTTTCAGCTGTATTGCCGTATTCGTCAAATGCACTCTGTTGTCGTCAATGTTTTCCAGATCAAACAATTGGCCACATAAACGAGCAAAACCTTCCCTAGCTAACCATACTTTCAAAGGATGAAATGATGTCACCAATACGTAAATGCGTAGATCAAACTTTCGTCCTGAAATCAGAGATTTAATTTTTATAAAATAGAAATGTTGATATTGGAAGAATTCAAGCTACATGGAGCTAATTCATGATTTTAATGGTTTAATACTAACATCAATTAGCAATTAATAAATAAAATTTTAAATTAAATACAGTGTATATATATATGTAATATATATTACAAATAAATATTCAATTACTAAAAATTGAGGAATTAATAAAGTCATAAAATTTAAGTATATGTACACGTACACTTACTTGAATTTCATGACTTTAATTTCTCAACTATATGTACATAACTTTTATTATACTTTTATTATACTAATTTATATTATATATTTATATATTTATATTATACATTATTTTCATTGTTAATATTAACTTAATACAATTTTATTGCTACACTGTAAGAAAAAATTTATTAAATCTTAATAAATATTTCTTTGAATTGTCCTAGCGGAATATTTATTTATCGTAAATAAATATTTAGACAAATGAAAAAATGATGATAGTTGAATTAAACTAAAGGTCCTTGTATGTAGTAAATATGTGTTTACATTGAGTAAATATTCCGCTTTTTAGGATTATTCAGAGAAATATTTCTTAAAATTTAGTAAATTTTTTCTTAGTGTATAATTTGTGTCTATATGTATCAAATGTATATTTATAATATAAATATATCAAAAAATGTGAATATATATTTAATTGTTGAGCTTATAATTATTAATTAATATATTTAAATGATTGTATCAACATTGAAGATTAAAAGATCTGAATTTTAACCTGCGACGAGATAAGGATTATCAATGTATTTTTGAACAACATAAATTTCAGCTGGCACTCCCGATTGCTGCGATTTGATCTCTCTGCTTTTCCACTCTATAAGATCCTTCAGTTTCCTAAATAGAAAGATACCCTTACCTCGTGATCTCGCTACTGGTTTGACGATCCATGTAGCTCCTTGTTGCCTACAATTATCATTTATCATCTTATTGAGATTCTCTAACTCCATAATTTTAATTCTATATAACTAGGATCGTTTTTATTTCCGTTTTTATTTACTTTTATATTTTTATTTGATTACGAAATATATTCTGTGAACCAGAATTCTTAGACTTTTGTTGTGCGTAATAAAATGTAAAACAAATACATTTAATATATGTATGTGTGTGTGTGCATGCATGTGTGTATATTAATGTAAAAAATTTAAAAGTTTACTATAAAAATTGTGCAGATATATAAATTTTATAATATTGTAAATAAACATTTAAAAACGATAGTTCTTCGAAAAAGTTTCTTTTTGTATAGGTATACTATATCTATATCTTGAGAAAAATTTTCAAGATATCACCATCATGTACCGATATTTACTTGCTTATAATATTTTTCTCGATAAGACCTTCTGATAAAATACAATATTTATAGATAACGATAAAATCATAAGAATTAGGATGACAAACTTAATTTATAGAAAGGAGTATAAAATAAAAATAAAAACTTAATAATATTTACTTAATTAAAAATCTTTAATCAATAATATAAACAATAAGAAATAATTTTACTTATGATATTCCTCGACAAACATCAGATAGTCACTAGGTAGCTCGAAGGTCACAGGCATGACATCGCTGATACGAGCCTCGGCAATTTTTCCAGCTCTTATGAGGGCCTTCCTATAACGTTTGAGATTGCGATATAGGTAATTCTTTCGCGTGAGCTCATAGTGGTTACGGAAGTGCGGCACCCGCTGGTAAGGGCGCAACTTCTTTTGGTCTCCATCCAGCGCCTGTCGCAGCACATCTCCCGTATCACACCACCATAAGTGCCAATTAGTATCTTCAGGATCGACTATCTCAAAGAAGAAAGATATAAAGCTCTCCACTAATTATCTCCACTAATATGGTACTTTTATTACTATAAATTTGAAACTTTGCAGACAATATAAATTTAGAAACAAAGTATTTAATTCAGGAGATATATATGATAGTTTAAATTGAGATATTTATTATAAGTTTTAATATTGTATTCATTTTTTCATCACACTTTGCTTGTGTAAAAGCTTGTCTAAAGCAAAAAAAAAAATGTTTGACTTGTTCATAATTATTCAGTGTTTTTGGCATCTATTTATTTTAAAGCATTTAAATTAACCAGTTAGAATTCTATTTGTAGTTAGTTACAGCACTCACCATTAAAAAAACATTATATAAATCCTGTTAAAATTAATATGATATGGTATCTATATCATATTAATTTTGACAGGATTTATATAATGCTTTTTTAATGAGAGAGTGCTATATCTCTCTCTCTCTCTCTCTCTCTCTCTCTCTCTCTCTCTCTCTCTGTTTTTTCCATCTGTATGTGTATTATTAATGAATATCTTTTTTATTATGTGGTATTTTGTATAGAGATCCTATAAAATCAGAAACTTGACAAAATTACCTGAGTCCAACCTCTTGCCAACATCACCTCAATTTGCGTGGAAGGAAAATCACAACGGAATTTGACAACTTTATCTTCAGAATTCTGCTTTTTTTTTAAGTTGCATATCTTTTTTTCTGCACCAGATTTGGTCATTTCGATCTCTAAAGAGCTAATTCGCGAATCCTCGAATATCTTTTGCGTATTATTCATAATAGCTTCAAGATAATTGAATGATTCAGCCATATTGAAGATGATTCACATTTGTTAGTTTATACAGCGTATTTGAAAGATTCAGCCTTTCTTCAAGTTCTCTTTAATACGAATTTTTATTTTATATTAATATTAGGATTAATTTAATTTTAATTAAAAGATATAGATTAAAAGATTATAGTTTTGTAATATTAATTTAATTTTGTAATTTTAATTAAATTTTTATTTGCAAGAAAATTTATACTAATTATTATATCATTCTATATTATAAAAAAAATACACACTGTTGGAGAAAATATGTCGAATTTAATAGCATATGCTAAACGGTCCACTCAAATTTTTGGATCAATTTAACACAAGAAGAATATGTTAGAAAATTACACAAATATTATGTAAGAGAATAAATACAAAAAAGATAATTGTAAACAAACAGTGGAAGCATTTTTTTCAGTAAAATTAACATTTATGATATGTTGAATTAACACAAATTTTATTCATTCATCTTACAATTTACGTTTCAAAACACTTTACTGTTATGTTATTTGTTCACTTACTCATGAATTGTGTCATTTTGACACTAAGAAATGTTGAATATCAATTAAACATAAAATCTTTAAATAACAATCACATTATGTTAGATTAATATTCGAATATATTAAAAAATTCAACACAAACTGTTAACAAGAACGTAAGTGGATTGTGTCCAACATAAATACACTTTTCTTTTTCTGTGTGCACAGTTTTTTTGTATTTATTCTTTAATATAATATTTGTGTACCTTTTAACATATTTATCTTGGGTTAAATTAAGCCAAAAATGTGAATGGATCGTTTGGTACATGCGATTTATGTATGTTAAATTCGACACATTTTTTTCCAATAGTGTGTAACTGGTTATAATAATCTTGTATAATATATATTTATACAAGACAAAGTGCATTGTGCGCAGAATGATTCATTAGAGTTGATTAGAGGACGGATTAGAGGGCAGCGAGAGAAAAGTCAATGTCATTGCGGATCCGAAAATACAATTGGCCACCAGCCGAAATCTCCACATTCCGATTCGCACTCGATCAGTTGCATTTTGTCGATTACGAGCTGTCGTTGCTCTTTCAATGTGAATAAAAAATTCAGAATTCTAACGTGGTCTAAAGTTCTAAAAGTGCGCAGCGAATGCCTAAACTCGCGTCTTGTTTGTCATGCTGTTTGCGACCTTTCGAGTTCCTTCTGAGCGGACATTTTAAAAGGGATAGATATGATTATGTTGAGTACATGGCTCTCTGTCAGGTGAATCTCAATTCTATGTAAAAATTCATTCAAATAATTATGTAACGTAAGAAAACAGATACTTATGTTAATAAATCAATTGGTGACGTGTTTCGAAAGTACATATTATTTGTTGTTGTTTTCACTATTTGTTATTTTATTTATTGTTATCACTATCGTATTTCATATCTTTTGAATTAAAAAATTGATATATATAACATATATTATTAGGTAATCTGTCTCTAAAATCAAACATCACCTTTAAATTCTATATTATAAAATATGTATATTATTGAAAATTAATCATATTTAATTCTATAAAAATGCACATGTTGCACATTTCTATTGTGTATATAGAATATTTGTTCATAAAGATTGAACAAATGTCGTACTGTTAAAGCAACTGGTGCAGATAAACTAGTATCCTTTCATTGAACTTGTCTTGCCCTCAATGTAATTTCGTAACAGGACTTGCTTTCACGCAACGACGATCGTATGCGTTTTCAATCGACCATGCGTTTGACAATGTATTGATATGCGTAGATAAATATTTATACGAACTATTATTTAAAATCATTTTAGCTAATTATCAGAGATTATTTAATTACTATAACAAACTTGGTTGACGTATAATAAATATATTGTGTGTGTATATATGTATATATTATATATAATGTTCATATAATGTGTACTTTTTATAGATTTTTGTTTGATTTTTTTAGGTCGAAGCTGGTGATGTCATACTCAGGGTAAACGAAGTTGATGTTAATCGATTCAGTACGAAAGAAGGTAAAAATATTACATTTATTAAGTCTACCTCTTGATTTTTAAATTATGGAAATTTGTCAAAATTGAATTTAATTGCTGATTCGAAATATATCATATATACAATTTAATATAATTTTTTAAAAATTATTGTCATTATATAATCAAAATAAATTATCTTACAGATTTATCGTCTCTTTTCCGTAATTGCGAGTTCAAGTATAGGGAGATAATAATATTCTAAATTATGTTTAACTTACATATACTGTACTAAGTTTTAAAAATATTTCATTAAAACGTAAAGTCGTAAATGGTAAAAACAAAATAATTGCGATTTTTCAAATTTTTTGAAAATTGATTTTCTTTTTATATTTGTATTTTGTTATTTATCATAAATTAAATGTCACTGAAGGCAATATGATTCAACATATAAAACGTAATTTAATATAAACTGCAATGGATTAATTCAAGTTTCGATTCTATTAATTGAACATGACTATTGAAATCGAACTTGATAATACTTCAGAAAACAGAATCTGTAAGATAATTTATTTTGATTATACAAATGACAATAATTTAAAAAATCATATTAAATTGTATATATGCGATATATTCCGAATTATTTTTATCGTACATATTAATTTTATTATAGATATTAATTTTAAATTATATAAATTTTTGTATATTTCGCAGAGAATAATGCTACATTTTAGAATTATAGAAACGACATTATTATTTATTTATGTATTTATTTATTGGGGAAATAAGAAATATATATAGGAAAATAATTTATTTAAGAACGAGAAAGAAACTGGAATGAAAGAAAGAATAAAAAAAATACAAGTTTTGATTTTAAAGTTAGTTTTAATTTAAAGTTAAAGTTAATTTTTATTCTTGATTTGTTTTAGTACTAAAATGTCTACGACTGTCTTCAGATCCCGTTACTCTGAAACTGCGAAGGGGTAAGTGAGATTTCTTAATAATTTATGATTAATATATATAAAATTTACAAGCTTACATATATTAATCTTTTACATGAAATTTATGATTTTTTTTATATATGTATATCATTTAAACACTGTCTATACTATAAATACAAATTGATTATGTATTCACAAGGTTGCTGAACTCTTGCGATCGTACGCGATCTAATGATAGATCATTGTCTGTATACGTTCTTGAACCTGAACTACAATAATAATAGAATTACGTTGTAATAATCATCGCGGCTAACGCGATGAACAGAAAAAGTTACGCACTTACCCCTTACGGAAGGGGATGGTCGATGACCAAGGACGTGTGATTATTCGCACGAGCGACTTTTAAACGATGCACGAGAGCGACAAATAATTTTCTATCAGACGGTTACATTGATCTCTCAAGGGGCACTTTTTTGTTTGCAATATTATCAGATCGTTTTTATTATTGTTTCTTATTGTTATTATTATCTTTATTAGTTTTAATTGTGAATAGATAAATTTATTAAACTCTGGCAATTTTAATTTTTTCCGATAACAAATAATTTGTTGTCAGACAATCTTTTATATTTTTATTAAAGAAACATTTCTGACATTTTAATCTTTTAATCGGTATTCTTCAATTAATTTCAATTATTACAAATAGATTCTAATATAATTTTTGTTTTAAGTTTTACTTATAAACATAATATATTTCATCGAAATTTTGGTTGAAAACAATTTGATGTTAAAAAACGTTATAAATAAACGTGATTTAATAACAAATATATTCAACGTAATATTTTATGTATAATGACAATAAAATAATATATACAAAATGTGTTGAAAGATTTATAAGATATTAAAAAGAAAAAAATTATGCAGATCCTGCGGTAAAGGCTCATGTTCGTCGCCTTCTTTCTCCCGGACAACCTATGAAAGATGAGGGCATAGAATCTTCAAAAGATGTTTTGACAAACAATCCCAAGAACATCGTCGCTTCCGACAATGTAGAGAAAAAGGAGCTCAAGAAGACGCCGGTCACACCAGAAATGTCTGCAAACTCGCCAACGTTGACACCGACGCCTGCAACAACAACGAGGAGCAACGGCTCATGCAGCGATGCGTCTCTTTCATCGGAATTAGAGGCACTATTGCCACCTGTGGACCATTTTAAGGAAGAGGAACGGACTCAATGGGAGCCCCTATCCGCTGAGAAATTTTCACGACAGAAAAATACACCCCGGTATAAATTGCAATATAATCATTTATCATATTCTTGACATTCATTTGAGTATAGTCATTCTCGATTTCGATTTTTATCAGTTAAAATTGATTATGCGCATAACTATATTTTTATTTGACTTTTATTTGGAAAATGCGAATTATTGGGAAAGACAGCAATAAAGATATGGAAAAAAAAAATATAGAAGTTTAATAGCATAGAAAAGGGAGATATTGGACTTAATTTTTCTTTCCTTTTTAAATCACAATTAATATATTTTTTCTCTTCCCTTCTCTCTCTCTCTCTCTCTCTCTCTCTCTCTCTCCACTCATCTATAAATCTTAATGAATGAGAATCATTATAATAATGTAAAAAATATTCTTATTAATATTTCTTATTAGTAATAAAATTTATTATTTATTTGTGTTAGATTCGAAGCGTACATGATGACCGGTGACCTGATGCTAAATCTTTCCCGAACGCAACAGAGCAGTAATTTGCTGCCTAAGCAGCATCAGCAGCGAAAGGTGGACTCCCTTAGGTACAATCCCAATCATCAGCACACCACTACCACTATCACTACCACTAGTGCCCATCATAATCATAATCATCATCATCATCATCACCATCATCATCATCATCACAACTCGGTACCCAGCAGTCCCAATGAGACCCAATTGGCACATCAGCATCATCATCATCGAGGAAGCGTCTACAAAGCTTCCAGCTCGGCCAGTACATCACCCGTAGGCGCTGCCAGACGTGACGGAGTGCAAAGCACTTCGGGAGCCCTTGTCCAAGTTGA